CATTGAAACCTGAGGGCTTACTAACGGGAAAAACAATTTCGTTAATTCTTTCTGTCAGTCATATTTTCGTGGGGACATCTGAAAACCTGAGATGACAGTATGCAAATTTATTTCCTGTCTTTAGGACATGACAGTCAAACTACATTATGATAAATAGATCCTCACAAAAGATTTTTTTAGTTTTAAAAGTAGAGCAACTATAAAACGGACTGATCGAGAAATTCAATGGAGGAGTGAATGAGTGAGTTTTTACGCCGCAATGTTCAGGCAATATTACAAGTGGAACACCCGATAAAAGTTTCGTTCATGGTGAGAAACGTTGGTGGCGAACCCAGGTCTTCGGTTTGACGAACGACCGCGTTGTCCCCGAGGTTACCCCACCGCCTTTCGGAGTGATATGGACATTCTGCACTAGCCCCATAATGTATTAGGCAGGGGAAGAATAAATAGCATGTTTTAACGACCTTCCGCTTGCCATTTACACGCGCAATTAACAAAGGGCAGTCTATGTTACTTGTTACTGGTGTGGTGAGGTGCATCTGTCAGTTGTGGTCCTTGCAGGAATCCTCTCTCCTCTATCTTCAGTAATGTTCGGCAAACTCTCTCAAGACCCGTTGTTGTTGTTGTTGAAGATTTCTTTCATTGTGAGTGAGTGAGTTGGGTTTTACGCCGCTTTCAGCAATAATCCAGCCGCATCACGGCGGGGGACACGACATGGGCTTCACACATTGTACCCATATGGGGAATCGAACCCGGGTCTTCAGCATGACGAGAGAACCCTTTAACCACAAGAATGCCCCCACCGCCCCTCTTTCATTGTGATGCAAGTAAGGCCTTCTATTTATACACCATACGTACACGTCCAGCTTTTAACGAATGTAATATTGCATTGCCTTTGAAAAACACCATTGTTCAAGTATTCCAAGTTACGACCACGTAACACGCACATATGACTTACGACTGCTCTATGAAACCATACGGAAGTTTCAAACAACAGAATTGTTCTTCAGCAACTCATGTTTGTCGTAAGAGGCGACTAACGGGATCGGGTGGTCAGGCTCGCTGACTTGGTTAACACACGTCATCGTCTCCAAAATGCGTAGATCGATGCTCATGTTGTTGATCACTGGATTGCCTGGTCCATCAACAAACCTTCCGATCTGGTTTGTATTCTCTCATCAGCTCATAAAAAACTACTTATTGTACTCCAGGAAGACTTCACTAACATATCTACGGTATCGTGGGAAAACACAAAATACAATGACAATGCTTTTACTGACCATAATATTAGCGGTACTTTCATGTCTCCACTATCCATTTATGTATGGAGTATTGGTATAAGAGTGCGTGAGTGTGGTTTTACGCCGCTTTTAGCAATATTCCAGCAATATCACAGCGGAGGACACCAGAAATGAGCTTCACACATTGTACCCATGTGGGGGATAGAACCCGGGTCTTCAGCGTGACGAGCGGACGCTTTAACCATTAGGCTAGCCCACCGCCAAATTGCTAAAAGAACGACGAAATCACACGCGCATTATGCAAGTTTCCATATAGCATACATTTACATCTTGTCTATAAAATTGTGTGATAATAAAGGCACTCTGATGCTTTCAGAGTACTTATTAAAAAGGGTGCTATTTCCCAAATTTAACAAAATTTATATTATGCTTGGCTGTTTGATGTTTAACGCCGCACCCAGCAGTATATCCTCCCAGCTGTATGGCACCGGTTTGAAAAAAATCAAGTCTAGACCAGACAACCCAGTGATCAACAGCATGATCATCGATCTTCGCAATTGGATACGATGAAGTATGTCGACGTAGGCAGCGAGCCCGACCGCCCGACCCCGTTAGTCGCCTCTTACGACAAGCATTGGTTTGTTGAATATCAATTCTCACGGATCTTCACGGGTTACAAATCTATGGCACGGTGGGAATACACGCAATACCTTCACTGACCATAACCTCAGTGGTATTTTCATGGTTCAACAATATAATTAGTATGTGGAGTATTGCTTAAAACACGACGAAATCACACGTGTATTATCCAAGTTTCGAAGTTGTATGCATTTACATCTTGTCTATAAAATTGTGTGATAATAAAGGCACTCCGATGCCTTCAGAGTACTTATGAAAAGGGACCGCGGTGTAGTGGTTAGAGCGTCCGCCCGGAGAGCGGAAGGTCGCGGGTTCGATCCCCGACCGCGTCATTCCAAAAGACGTTGAGATGATTTACAATTAATCACTAAGATATATAACATGTAGCCTATTCCTCATACCTAACACACTTCCATCATATTCACTTGCATTATCTATTATCTATTTCTACATTGATTGTTTCATATTTCTCCGACCGCGTCATACCAAAAGACGTTAAAATATGGTACTTGTTGGTCCCTGCCTGGCGCTCGGCATTAATGGGTACAACAAGGACTGGTCGGCTCGGAGTCAGTATAATGTGTCTGAGTGGGGTATTCATGCTTGACTGCGGCATGGTATCTCAGTGGACTAGCACTATAAAGCCAGTTTCAGTCTGGGCTTGTACAAGCAGCCGCACATACACATACACACGCATGTACGTCGTCATATGAGCGAAATATTCTCAAGCACGACGTTAAACCCAATTTCACCTCACCACACCTCACTTATGAAAAGGGGGTGTTATTGTCGCATTTTTTAACAAAACATACTATGTTTGTCCGCACCGCAATATTTCAGTTATCTGACGGCGGTATGTACATAACTGAGTTGGGAATAGACAAAATCAAGTGATCAACAGCATGAACAACAATCTACGCAATTGAGATACGATAACGTGTGTCAACCAAGTCAGCCAGTCCGACCACCCTATCCTGTTAGTTTCTGAAGACCAACTGTAACCCGGATCTTCACGGGTGTCTTATATCAAGATGAAAGGCATTGCTTTAGCATATGAAAGAAATCATCCGCGGATGAAAAGCGATCGCCACTGATCCAGAAAAACTAATTTCGATCATTCAACCTATTAAGCATGATAAACACAACCACCGGTTTTAACCCATCACTTCTACTGGAAGGAAGTATTTTCTCGCCTGGTCGCGGTAATGTGGGACAAACCTAATTTGTCAAAGTTAAGAGGTTCTAAACTTGGTTATTCTTTAATCTGCACCATATAACTATTTCGAAATGACAGCGGTGAAGTGTTGCATAAGGAGCTTTGCAAATTTGGCTTAATCTGCCTATTCAATATGCTCTCGCCATAAGATCTCATTATGACTAGGGTCATATACTATAGTGAGTGATTGAGTGAGTTTAGTTTTACGCCGCACTCAGCAATATCCCAGCTATATGGCGGCGGCCTGTAAATAATCGAGTCTGGACCAGACAATCAAGTGATCAACAGCATGAGCATCGATCTGCGCAATTGGGAACCGATGACATGTGTCAACCAAGTCAGCGAGCCTGACCACCCGATCCCGTTAGTCGCCTCTTACGACAAGCATAGTCGCCTTTTATGGCAAGCACATGGGTTGCTGAAGACCTATTCTACCCCGGATCTTCACGGGTCTCATATACTATAGAGAGAGGGGATCAGGCAAATGTTTAAAGCCATAACGATCATGTCCTTCAACTAGTTTCATAATTTGATTCAGCTTCAATAAAGTGCAAAATATTATTTATACAAATGTATATTCATTGCTCGTAAAGAGACCTGTGATGATATTGCATGTGGGGCAAACCTAACTTGTCAAAGGTAAGAGGTTCTAAACTGGGTTTTTCTTTTATCTGCAACATATTACTCTTTCGAAATGACAGCGGTGAAGTGTTGTATAAGGAGCTTTACAAATTTGGCTTAGTCTGTCTATTTAATATACTCTCTCATTGTCACTGGGGTCATTTATCACAGTGATGGGGGAATCAGGGAAATGTTACTGACAGTTTGTAAAGCCATAACGATCATGTACATTTCCATAAAGCATTTTCTTGTGGAAAAGGGAAACCTGATTAATACGGATGTCCTTCAACTAGTTTCATATTTTGAACCTGATTCAGCTACCATAAAGTGCACACAGTTTTATTTATACAAATGTATATATATTGCTGGTAAAGAGACCTGTGATGAGTTGCATTACCAGTTTCTTTCAAAGGGTCATTGTCCTTCCGGGACGAACTTTTGTTATGCAATACCAATAAATGTACGCGGCCATGATCATTGCATCAGCGAACTAACCTGTTTCATTTAGCTGCTGACTCCGCAACGCAATTCCATCTGTTTTAGAGCGAGTTGATCAAAGTCGGAGAAGATGCCTAAAATGTAACACTTTATCATAGAATGCCCTATCTACAGTGATCTAGAATTAAGTATTTAAAGCAAAACTATTTTAAACGACTTCAGTTTACAAAGTTTTACAATTATTTTCTACTAATAACGTTAAAAAACAAAGAAACTCAGGAGCATATATGTATTAAGCTTTCCAGCGACGAAATTACTAATGTGCATACAAAGCTTAATAGACCTACTTGTTACATCCTCACTATCTTGATAGCATATAAAAAATCTTATGTATATGGCCAGAGGCCATTTATTAAGGTAGTGTCAATAAAAGTGTATGTCTGTCTGTCTGTCTGTCTGTTTTACGGCGGCATGTATGCAGTCAAGGCTTGATACAAGAGACCATTGATTGATGCTGTGGGCGAGAAGCTCCGCCGTCGGGATACGATGCAACGTTATTGATCAAAGGTCACCGTCTCCCAGCGTCCAATCAGTTTAACCCTTACCTAAAACAAGGGTGCCCGGGATTTCCCCTGGAACCTGAAAATTTGGGGCTCAGGTCGAGAGATTTATTTCGCTTTTACAAAAAAATAACATGACTGCTACATGTCAGCTGATCTCCAGAGATGCATCACGTGATGCTCCCCTGTGTAGATAAAAGAAGCACAGATTCGAAGTATCTTTCGTCCTGGGCGAGTTTGGCAGAGGGATTGGCACAGATTCATCTCCAACGAAACCCTTCCAGAATGATCCTGCAAGCAGCACTGGTCCTCGCTGGTCTGTCTTTGGCAAGTGGCAGCATTTGCTGCGCACCCAAGCAATTCAACGCATTCCAGCATGTCACCTATGTCAACTCCACGACAACAATGCGTGTAAGTACAGAGTCCGTAAACCAATTAACCAACCCCGTGCACTTAAAAGAACACACGAATCCGTTGGTATATGACCAGATGGTGGCCACATGAATACGTGCAAACACTTAGTTGCGGGTACAGCAACGTGCAGTAAACCTGAACAAAGTACTGTGACTATGTGTCCCAGTCCACCCAGCTGTGAATGGGTACCTCATAAGGATGGGAAAGCCGCAATAACTCGGTGCGCCTAGTGGCAGCAAGAGTTGCATGATACCCAGGGAGTTGAGATTGATAATAAGATTTGCCGGTGAGATTGACATCTAGTGACCGAGGGGGAAAATACCAGCGCCTTGAGCATGCACCAGTGCGTTGATATGTGCGCTATATAAATATCCCATAACGATTAAGCAATTGTTCATCATACAATCAACATAGAAAGATGATGTTTAAAGCTATTCAAGATGTAAGTGCTTGTAAGTCTGTGATTACATTATCTGTTCTTTTAAAAAGCATTGCAGATCTGACAAACCAAAAAAGTGAAATTATATTTAAAAATGTACATCAGTATATAAACAAATCTAAACGATTCCAGTAGTCTGCTTTCTATACACCTTTTGTATAATAATATTTCCCTGATTGTATAACAATAGTTCCCCTAAACTGTCAATCTTCCTCCGTGTCTGTTCTATACATGTAATTGCTTGTGCTGAAATTTGTTATTGTAAATATCTTTGGAGAGGGTTTTTTTAAGCTGTAAGAACTAGTCCCAAATCCTTTTCACTCTGTGGATAAAATACGTTTAAACTAAGCGATTCTAATCCTTCTTCCCTTTCCGTAAACTTCCATAGAATTAGTTCGGCCTGTCCCAAAATGAACGACACGAGTTATCATGGATGCCTTAGCTGAAACAATGGATTTCTCTAAAGGTGGAAGGGAGATTATATGAGCATTGTAAAAACGAACTCATCTTTTTATTAACTTGACTTACTACAAAGTTAACGATGACACCGAAGTATGCTGGAAATTTACAACATTGACACAGTGAATAGTATGTACTTTAATCCAATATGGCGTTACTGCAAAACTAAATTTTCCACAAGGCTGTATGACAAAAAGAATGATTTCAACTTTCCAATCATCAACTTTCCTTTTATTGACCTACATGTTCTACTGTTGCAATATGATGATGACACGACCCTACTGTTTTAAAACCGTGAAGGCGCAGCACTGCACTGATAGATTTCATGAATATTGTAAACAATGAAAGCTAACCATTAACGATTCAAAAACTAAGGTATTGATTTTCGGGTCAGGTCCAGCAAAGGAAAGAAAAAATGTCTCATGTTGTAAAAAAAACCTCCATAATATTGTAGAGGTTTATTAGGTCTTACATTCCATGGGCATCGTAAATATACCAACGCTGTTAAGACACTACGTGGCCCCATTTTGTTATCTCACGTGAAAATTTTAATTTCCCATTTGACTGACTGTATGCGTACATGTTCGACAGTGTAGCGTTGCGTAATATGTTGTTTGGTTGAGAAATATATTGTTACTGTTATGTTGATCACGAGAAAATATTCATTGCATATTTTTTAAAACCATTCTTAAACTCGGTGAGAGTACACCAGCATATATGGTGCAATAGGTCGTCTTACAGTTTGTGTATATACATAATAATATATAACAGGTATCATAACCTTGTGCTTCTCACATGTGCTAATGAAATGAAACCATCAGTTATTGCGAATGACATGTTTTAGGTTGCAGAAAGTGCACAAATGACTTTCAACAATAGTCATTTTAATCAAGTGCTCGGGCGGCAGTGATGTTAGTTTATGATCAGTAATAGTTGTAAACGGTTTAATAAAAGCGTTTTGCCATGTTATTTGCCAAGTTTCCTCTTCCCACGTTTCCATTACCTTTAATTCATCTTCAGCCGGTGTCAGGACAAAATGAAATTTCTTTGACCCTTTTCTACATAAAGGAAAAAGCTAAATATATACATTTGCTATAAATGTTATACGTTGTTTATAACACTATGTAAGGAGGTCTTAATTCTTTCATATATCTGTGTATGTGTTTTCAGAAAACATAAAATTCCCAAAAAATTATCGCGCGATACCTTTCGTAAAAGTTGTTGAAGTGCCATAAAATCACTCTCTTCATAAAAAAATGAACATGTTGATTATGAAAGTTTTGTAAAATCCTTTTGCCACTGACACTAATATTTTTATATTACAACAATGGTTCCTGGAGTATTTGGTTGCACTATATTGCACTTCATAATATGTATAAATACATTTGGCATAAGCTTCAAAACTTTCCTCCCGGAAACATTTTGCGAACATTCTGGCTATGGTTTTTGCCAATTCCGACTCTTTCTTAGTTGTAATTTTGCATATTTTCAGGCATTATACTTCATCGTCTACGACGGTGTCAATGACAGATACCTCGTCAGCGGCGATCGCAGCAACAACAAATTCGTCGGGACCACCAAAGTAATCTACGACTACAAGAAGGTAAGGAAGACCTCCAAAATGCTTTACGACTGGATCCATGATAAATTGTCGCATGGCGTCTCAGTGGACTCGGACAAGACACGTTTTATGTATCATTCTTTTACGCCCTTGTTTCCATGGGAGGTTAAGTCTCAATGCTATTTTCACCTCCAAGACAAATACGTCTTCCTGTAGGGTGACAGTGAGTGAGTGAGTGAGTGAGTTTTACGCCGATTTAGCAATATTCCAGCAATATCAAAGCGGGGGACACCAGGAATGGGCTTCACACATTTTCTTACACACCCGTGGGTGAGAAATCCATGTGAGAAAACTGGTATCACACATATGTGTGAGATCGATTTCTAATCCCGTGATTGGCTACTCCATGGCGATGACCTAGGGTCAGGTTATGACGGACTACTTTCCTGATTAAAATTCATTGATAAGTTACTCGTGCTTCAATTGAACAGAGACCTGTTACTCGTGCAAAAATACCCCTTTACACCTACCTGTTATTTTCGCGATTGCAACATAAACAGGTATTTATTTATACAATGAGTCACAAGTAGAATAAATATAACACGAATCTATTTATTTCTAATTCCTTTTATTAAAACTTTCGATTCCTAGTCATGAATTCAAAATGGCTCCAAAAATCAGTGATACCTGTGTAAACAATTATGTGAAAATCACCGTTAGAGATAAAGCCCTTGATTCCCTTCGAATATTCAAAATGTACAACACTGGTACTTTTACTGGAGAGATGCGACAAGTGTCATGTGTCGTCTTGCAAAAAATACCTGACACGATAACGTCAGTGCCTGTCCATTGTGAGATCGATTTGACTCGTTGTTTCTTTGATGCATTGGTGAAGATGACATTTTTCACTGATACACATGATGAAGACCCACTTCCGAGATACTATGTGATTCTAATGTTATCAAATTCACTCATGACAATCAGAACCAAAACACACTCGTTGAAACAATGTACGACATGGTACGTTTTGCAAGGCTTCATGAGTGCAAATGGCGGCACACGTCCTTTCTATTCAATCGAACATGTACAGGAACGGTTGATCTACACATAAGTCATTGCTCAAGATATTCCTCCGACGCATGATAATGTAAAGTTTATGTCTTGATAACTTACAGGATGTAATCAACTCACATTTCATACTGAAAACTCCGTAAATTCCATTACATTCCAAGTGGCAGTTTCCGGCTCGGGGAAAACGAGAAGGATGTGGCGAAGAAGAGTAGTCCCCCATTGATAGTGAACGTAACCTCAGCAATGTCACATTCAAGCACACTGGGTGCACCTAATTTCACACACTCAAAAGATGGGAGAACATTGAACGTAAACTGGTACACAAGTACAGATCCCCAATGTGCAGAGATATCCAAAACAATCTTCGGTGGACGAAAACCACCAAGCGATAACGATGACGTCACTCGCTCAAATATTTTACGCTTGCAAGAATTAAAATCATCCACATTTGCATGTTAACATCATCATTTTAGAGTGTTTAATTAATTTTCTGTGGTCTTATCTAGTTATCATTATCACCATTGCCTTGATGATGCGAAGAGGTGGCAGAAACTTTTTTGTGGAGGGTCACCATGGGGATGAGTAGTGATTAGGAAGCCAAGTGACGTCACTCATTCTTAAACGTTGTGTTGTGTATTATTGCGCACCTACGACGAGAAAACATGAAATTTGAATCTATTCGACCATAAAATGGTGCGATTTTATGGTGTGTAAGAAACAGATTACTGTACTCGTGTCTGTCAGATAACATTTATCTTACAACTCGTTGTAAGATAAATGGTATCTGACAGACACTCGTTTAGTAATCTCTATGTACCCATGTGGGAAATCGAACACTGGTCTTCGGCGTGACGAGCGAACGCTTTAACCACTTGGCTACCTCTCCTCCCCAAACTAAGAATCCAAACGACGAGGTACAGGAGTCATAGTAGTAATCATGGGTATAGGTTTTTATTACCCACGTGGTCAACGTATGGGTAGTTGCATACTAATCTCGTACGTCACACGAGTGTCGTATCGTGTTGACCTGTGTCGTAACGACTTGACCTGAGATTCTAACGATTTGATTGGATAACCGATGACCTCTCAATTAGGTTGCATTCTGACGTAACTAATTTTTAATTCATAACAAACACGTGAATCCATTCATTCTACAACTTAAATGCATTGTGGGGATGTCGCTGTTTAATTATGCCGAACTGAGACATTATGCCCGTCGAAAAACGTAAACGCAATGTTTCCACCAGTGATGTTAGCCGAATGAAGCAACTGCAAACCAAGAAACGGGGTGCTTCGGAGTAGTTTACTGTAGGAGGCTGTACGAGGCGATGACAACTGACATGCATCGTGACGTCGGTTACCAAGGCAGTGACGTCATTACAGTGACGTCATGCAAATATTGTACTACAGTGCAAAACTCTTCCGCAACCTCTTTATGAAACCGGTTTCGGTTTGAAACCAAAATATTAACAAAAATACGCTATTTTGTTAATTTAATGCATATAAGACGTGGGTAATAAATAAAATACCACACTCGGTCTCATTACATACGAATTATACGAATATTATATATTATTTCGCTCGGTCAGATACCATAGGAAGGACACTCGTTTCGTATAATTCGTATGTAATGAGACCTCGTGTAGTATTCTCTATTTATCATCCAAATCTCCCAGGAGATATCGTTTTGACAGTAGATATCGTACAATGCCCTGACAATGCTATGGCATCATGAACCTGATGACGTCACAATGCTATGACACCGCTGTACTGCAAGTCTAATGGCAGTACCGTTTTCAGAGATGTACGTTTTGTCTTTAAAAACTAATGAAGAGAGCTTTTTATGGTAAATAGAATCTCACTCTCGTGTCTTCGGATATCAAATATATCATACAAATGTTTGTAATAACTCAGGTTGATATAATTGATATCAGTAGACACTTAGGTGAGATTATCTATCTGTCACATTGAATTGTTTCTTTTTGATTTCTAAATGACAATTTTTGTTTTCAGGGTGTTGCTTACAGTATTGACGCAGCAGCACGTACTTGCTCAAAGTACTCTCTTCAGGGACAATTTGATGATCAGCAAAGTGTGTGTGTTCCAAGTAAGTGATTTCCAAATATATCGACCAATTTTTGTATGTTCTGTCCCTCGAACTTTAAACGGAACGGGTCCTCTATAAACTTCAGTGTGCGAAATTTACGCTGGTCCTGTGGTCCCTGGTTAGTAAAAATTCACCAGGACCACTAAATGCTAAGTTTGCAGTGGTCCTGGTGGCCAGAGAATTTTGTATTGACAGTTAAAATAAATCTAGTGACCAGTGAAGTACAGACAGGACCGCTAATTATTGTTCACTCACTGGTCCTGTGGTCTAGTGGGAAATTTTGAAAAGTTTCTTTCCCAGAACTTTAGAAGTCCCAACATTCGATTATAACGTTGATGAACGTTGCGTACAGATATACTGAGTGTTTGTCATCACGCTATCAACCACTGGTTTACCTGACCCAGACTCGATAATTTTACCTTCCTTTTTTATTTTGCTAGAAATCTATCTCTAAATGGAGGTAGCATTAGATACTGTTATTTCGAGGTTAGATTTATTGACTGCATTAAAGGTTTGAGAAGTCGGAAATGATATCTCGCATATCGTTTTGCTATATAACTTTATCTGCATGAATGTCTCGTCTCGAATGTACCGAAATGTTCAAACTGTTATCTGTACTGCAACGATCGACGAAATGGGGTTAATTTGAAAGTGAGTGCATAATGGTTTAAACCGAAGTCAACACAATTGATATCGTTGCGGTTTGGCTACACTCGAGTCTTAGCAAAGTCAAACCAGTGGTTGATCATCGATTAACGCTGACGGCACACAGCCAATCAGTTTACACAATTAACTAGTACGACTAAGATGTACATCCCATGAATTAAATATAGAAAAGGGCAGATATTATAATGTTCCACGAGAAAATAGACTGTGTATGTTATGTGATTTAGGGGTGATAGAAGATGAGTATCATTTTATATTAGTCTGTCCGCATTTTCACAATTTAAGAATGTTATATATACCCCCATTTTAACGCATCAATCACTGTGAATATAAATTAAGGTTATTGTTGAAAGCAACAAATCTACAAATTGTTAAAAATCTATCAATGTACATTTATCATGGGTTCAACAGTAGAAAATTTGTTTTAAATTCCATGTAACTGTACACACTTGTATTGTACTATAGGCCTGTGGCCTCTTCAGTACCCTGAATAAAAGAAATTGAATTGATCTAGTAGAGATTATGATGTTTTGATATGCATGTTAAACGTTTAAGTACGTTAACGCTGGTAGGTTGTGAGCGTCAGCCAATTGCATGTGCGTAGATATTATATGTGTATAGATAAACATTCGAAAGCTTTGATCCGTTTGAGACTATATATGTTTTTCATTATTTTAGAGTTGAACTTATATAGAATTTGTTTAATGCTCACCTCTTGAAACAGAATTACGAAATATCACCATGAATTAACAAATACAGCTACATGTGCGCTAATGCATATAAAGTGAAGGCAAGCCGACGCGACTGCCATAAGGAATACATCTTTATATGGCCAAAAAATGCAAATTAGGCTTATAAAAAAATATCCATTTTGCTGGCGATAATTTGTCATTGAGTTTTAATCACACTGTGACAATTCAGGAAAGGATCTGAAGTCGGTATCGACATATCTTTATGTTAGTTAAAGGTTGCATCCCGACCGAAGTCCGCAACACCTTTTCAAACACTTACGAAGTTTAAGCGTGAAATATTTTATTTACATGCTTGTTGTCTCTTAAAGGCACTATATCACACCACACTTGTGTATAAAAACATAATGCATTTCTCTCAATAATACTATCAGCCCTCAGGGAAGCTACCGTATAATTTATTCAAAACGAAATTACATATTTAGATTACAATATTAAATTAAAAAGTTCGAATGAATTAATGCAACATTGCATTAAATCGACTCTTGCGCCCTCTACCGAGCGAACAGTATTTCAAGTGAATCCCACAGAGTTAAGTCCCTTTAAGCGCTCTTTTACTAATACCCCGAGAACAACTTGTGATTGAAACCAGTGGGGCAAACACCGACAATACCGCGTGCGACTGTTTTCGATGTACGGAACAATTGTTTACATTCCCCATATGGCAAGTGTTCCCTGTTTGGAAGCTGTTCGCCTCGAAGTTTCAATTATCGATGTCAGGCAATTCGTAAGGGATAATAAATGTCTACTGCATCAATATGAAGCGAAACTGGGTGCATATGCCCCAATATATACAACATAGGCCTAATTATTGTCGAAAATGTGTGACATTGTGTCTTTTATATTTCTTGGTTGTGAAAAATCAAAATCACAGTCTCTCAAGCATTCGATACGGCTGGCTGATAAACATACTTTTCGGATTATGTATTGGGATGTTCCCACTTTTCCGAAGAAATGAACGCATCTTATCTATAACAAATGATGTTAAATCTCAGGTGACGCTGTCTCTTTGGGTCCTTTCTTTTACGGCTACAATCGGCACAGGCTGAATTCCCAGTCGTACACCTACAACACTACCACCGCCGACGGGAGGCGTCAAAATGTCATCACTACCGTCTCAGAGGGAGACTGTGTACCAGTAGTCGTAACCAGGACCACGACAGGAGGCGGAGGTGGGTATGGGAGAGTGGAGTTGAGTTTGTCATTGACCACGTATTTTAGTGTGTGAGCAGGAGGGCAAGCATGAACGCCCGCTTTGAACAGTACATAAACAATACCGGGTGTCATGTAAATAGTTAAAAATAGTGCTAACACCGGTGTCATCTGAACTTCTGTTAGAGACCCGTGAAGATTCGGGTTAGAAACAATAAATAATAATAATGATAAAAATAGTCGATTTATTATGAGCATTGCTCCATGCACAATGCATGCTCGAAGAGCCCAAACAATCTGATTATTATTACGCGGATAACCCATGCTGCCTGTTAGGCGCTAGAAAGTTATAGTCTTATCCCACCGGGTACCCATTTTCTGCTAGGCGAACAGAGACATTTTTGAACAAACTGAAAGTGAGAAACATGTATCACATGTTGTGGGGCAGGACTGAAGTCCCAGAAATTCTCAGGAGTCTCGCTGCCATCCAAGAACTCTCCGCGCCCCACGGCGCTTAACTTTAACAGATTTGTGACCTGAGTTCTATGCACATGACCACACGACACCTAAAGTGGTCAGGTGTTTTGACACTGTAACTAGATCGACAGCGTGTCACCACACTCCATGAGGTCAACATTATTAACAGGCGGTCGTGATATAGCAAATATTACTAGGTGAGACGTGAACAATTACAGTGCAAAGTTGCTCACTGTGACATATTTTCTTCCTCTCCAGAAGGAAACTCTCTTTACGTCCTCGGGTACAACGACTTCTACCCCGGCATCAGGGACATCACTGTCTTCGACATTCCGCCATACTGCTGAGCCTGATACCGTAAGTACATCGAAAATAATAGTTTACTGTTAGATACTGAAAATAATAATTGTTTCGCAACACTGTGCACCACATCAAATTCTAACAGACCACTCAATGTAATACCTGTATTTCACTCAATGAAAATTAAATAAAAATTATTCACTCGAAGACATGACATTGAACACTTACTATTCATATTTCTCTCTCTGACTCAATGGCACCATCAACATCATATACCAACTTTTCACTTCATCTATACTTCAAGCCATAAACAGCAAAATATATGATTTTCAGGATTTCTAATGTTGCTTAAGGACATATATTACATCGAAAGGTTTATTGCAATGTAAAATATCAAATTTACAGCTTGTTCAGCTTGACCTGAGCTACTCTCCATATGCATTGCCCGGGAGGTCAAATGGCACAAACGGCAGGTCGAGTTAACTTCATTAAATAGGGGATCAAAGAATGTTCTTAATGTTGCTGTTCTCTGCCTTAAAGCTCGAATCGGAAACAATAAAGCTTCTTTTTTAAAGAAAGTTAGGACATTGCTGACGATTTCTCGACACTGAGGTGTCAAACGGCGACCTTGTCTCGACTGTTCGGACATGTTGGCAATCAATGCACCCCTTCACAATAATAGACCCAACCAGTTGTGACACGGTCACGCAATGCATTAGTATTCATTTGATCAGGTCAAGCTGAACGAGCTGTAGTTATTTTACTAGGAAATGGCGTCACTTAGATACCCTACTCTGACATTTTGATTTAGCACACATACAATTTGACTTCCTCAAACTAATGTGTTTTACTGCAGGTTGTACCATTTTCACCTAGCTCCTGTCTATTATTAGTTGTTCACTGGTCACGAGGGGGACATGGGTTGATGTACCCTCAATGTTTGTTTATGTTCCCTGAACCTGGAGCGCGAGAGGAACATAAACAAACACCGAGGGTGCATCAACCCACGTCCCCCTTATGTTCGTCTCGCCCTTCGGGCTCAGGGAACATAAACAAACATCGAGGGTACATCAACCCATGGGCCCCGAGGGACCAGTGAACAACGTATTTATCTTACCGAACACCTTAATGTTAATTTTGAATTGTTTGAAGCACGGGTACAAATCCTTTTGTAGCCATCGCTAGAGTTATCTCCCTTCCATCGATTTGCATTCGCAAAACATTGGTAATTTCCGTACATCATACCTGATTCAATGTAATTCGAGATAAAGAATTACTACCACGAAGTACCAAATGAGTTGCCATTGACAGCGGGGTACATGTTACTCGCTTGTAAGCGGGGTACATTGGAAAATAATAGAAGAACGCTCAGCCAATCAGAAAGCGACATTTATGTGTGAGGTAAGATAACTGTATATATACACGCTCATATGTGTATACAATGTTGTACTAACTTGATGATGTAATGCCAGCACATGTCACTCTTCTGTCTGTACATGCAACTTGAAATGGAATTTACAAAAACATAAAACAAAAAAAACACCAAAAAATCCACTTCATGGACAACTTTTCACTACCAGTCAACATCAAATAACAACTATATTATTCCACTGTAAATCCCATCTTTTCATCCAAAAGCACAACAGTGACAACTAAACACTAACTTTCACTCAATGGCACATTCAACATTACACGATGACAATGACATCACAGTGAAATTGTTTTACTATGATGTTTCTTAACTTTATTCCATCAGTATTTACATTATGAGGTGAGGTGAGGTGAAATTGGGTTTAACGTCGTGCTTGAGAATATTTCGCTCACGTGACGACGTGCATGCGTGTGTAGGTGTATGTGCGGCTGCTTGTACTAGCCCAGACTTAAGATGGTTTTTATAGTGCTAGCCCACTGAGATACCATACCGCAGTGAAGCATGAATACCCCCACTCAGACACATTATACTGACTCCGAGCCGACCGGTCCTTGTTGTACCCGTTAATGCCGAGCGCCAGGCAGGGACCAACAAGTACCATATTTAAACGTCTTTTGGTATGACGGGGTCGGGGATCGAACCCGCGACCTTTCGCTCTCCGGGCGGACGCTCTAACCACTGCACCACGGAGGCGGTCATTTACATTATGATGCAGCAGCATGTAATGACATTTTTGCCAAAATTAATTCTTTTAGTTTTAACATGACGAGTTACGTCCAGGATACTAAAACATTAAAGCATTTTATTTACTAAAATGATAAATGTGCTACAATTGAATTTTGAAAGGTACTACATGGAGTTCCTCTATAACAACACGAACGTTCTAATTCTTCTGTTGCAGGACAATCATTGCTGAAAGGAAACAGAACCAGTATATGTAGTTATCGAGTCACTGTTCAAATGTCTATCTTGCAAGATATGATGAATAATAAAAAGCATTTTATATAAAACAGTGTCCTTAACTGTATTGATGTTTAGTTGGCAACACCGGATTCCGGCTTGGAGTGAGTTAGTGAGTATAGTTTTACACCGCTTTTTGCAACATTCCAGCAATATCACTGCGGGGGACACCAGCAATGGGCGTCACTCATTGTGCCCATGTGGGGAATTGAAGCCGGGACTTCAGCGTGAAGAGCGAATGCTTTAACCACTAGGCTTCTCCACCGCCCCGATTGCGGCTTAGAATTAAACGACAGTTATTGTGTCTGTTTCCTTAAATGTAATGGGTTTTTTTTTTATTTTTCGCTTCTGCTGCGTTATTTTAAAGGAATGGAGAGTTGCTTCTCTGACAGGCGATAAGACTTCCGACAAAATTCGAAATTGTTCACTTGTCAAACATTAAGCAGATCCATGTATTCAAGTGAGTGAGCGAGTTTTGTTTTACGCCGCAATAAACCAACACAAAAGAATTCTTGCGGCTTTTCTCTGTGTAAAATAGCTGATTCTAGTGTCCAGCATGTCAACTAAAGTCAACGTGTGCTGATGTCTGGTGACCATATCGGGGGGTCGAATTCCATAAATCTAAGCCGAAGAACACATGTGAGTGAGTGTGTTTAGTTTTATGCCGCACTCAGCAATATTTCAGCTATATGGCGGCGGTCTGTAAATAATCGAGTCTGGACCAGACAATCCAGTGATCAACAGCATGAGCATCGATCTGCGCAATTGGGAACCGATGGCATGTGTCAACCAAGCCAGCCAGCCTGACCAATCGATCCGTTAGTCGCCTCTTACGACAAGCATAGTCGCCTTTTGTGGCAAGCATGGGTTGCTGAAGACCAATTCTACCCCGGATCTTCGCGGGTTGAAGAACACATGTAATGACATCAGTGTGCGAAATAGCCACTGGCGCGCTAGCCCGTGGCTGGTAATAATCCAGTCGGGCCAGTAAATCTCCATACTCACTGGCCCGATTGGCTGGTGAATTTTAATGGGGTCATTTTGTAAATATATCACTCTCCGACTTGTTAAGTTATAATTCACTTTTAAATCATGCAAGATTATGGCCTGATAAAAATGTTCATCGTATTAGCAGCTGGCTTTTATGTAATTCTTTGCTGAGTTTCTACATTCAAATTTTGGGCTTGTGAATTATTTGGTAGGCTAGTAACTTTCAGGCCGACTGGCTAGCAAAACTATTTCGCGCACTGAATGACATGTGAAAGAGGAAAGTATTTATGGAATCTTGAGCGGTCGAAGGGAGGTAACTCGGCTTGTCCTCTGTTTAAGGGCAAGGCCCTCGAATCGTGCCCCGACCGCTGGGCAGAAGGAGTGAGTGAGTGAGTTAAGTTTTACGCCGCACTCAGCAATATACCAGCAATAAGGCGGCGGTCTGTAAATAGTGGAGTCTAAACCAGACAATCCAGTGATCAACAGCATGAGCATCGATCTGCACAATTGGGAACCGATAACATATGTCAACCCAGTCAGCGAGCCTGACCACCCGATTCCGTTAGTACGACAAGCATGGGTTACTGAAGGCACATTCTAACCCGGACCTACACGGGGCTGGGCATAAGGAACCAGCCACAAACTGTAATACCTGTTCAGTTGACGACTAGTCAGTCAGAGTTTAATAGGGATATTTCCTAACTGTGATACTGTTTGGAATAAAGAACGATTCGGAAGTTACCCAAGGGTCGTCAGAAAACCGTGGGTGAACACTACACAGGTACCCTGACAGATATACGAATCCAATCTTATTCAGTGTTGCTGACTTTGACTGCAGCCTACAAGTAATCTGCTAGTCAGAACACAGCTAATATTCTGACAGGTAACAGGGCCTTGTAATAGCGGGGCGCTACTTCCGGTACTATGGTTCCCGGCTCCATTGGCGCGCGCCATCTTGAGATATACGACACGGGGCCCAGCTAACTTCCGGTACCAGTTCAGCATTGGTTGTCAGGGTTTCACAGCTCGGCCGTTAGGACTAACATGGGCAACTGCCGCAGTACAGGCTACTACCAAACCAGTAACTGCAGTTGATCGCTGTACAAAAACTGACAAATTATCCCGTGATCGATCTATGTTTTATCACCACAGATGTGATTAAAACTGAATGAAGCTTCGCAAAATATTTCAGTTCGTGCCAGTTGATGGGCACATTTTGCACAGTTTAGATTGTAAATTTCAATCCTGTGAGTCGACAATGGACACGAACTAACGACCTCGTCTTTCTGGGGGCAGTGGTTAAAACTTCCGCTCCTCACGCCGATGGTCCCAGTTCGATTCCCCACAAGGGTACGATGCGTGAATCCCATTTCTGGTGTTCCCCGTTGTGAAAATGGTGGAATGTTGCTAAAAGCGGCGTGAAACCAAACTCCTTCATCTTTCGGCGTACAACGTGTGTCTCTGCTACAGTCAGTTTGGGTGCCAGGTACTTTTGCTGATCTGTTACTACCAGCTATTGCTTGTGAAAGTCGTTGTGTTTTACTGGGAGCAAGAAATACAATCTCAGCAACTGTTGAGTAACATAACGGTTACAGGTGTCAGTCAGATGATCTGGCGATCCCATGTCATCACCCACCCGCCATGCGTCATTTTCCTCTGTGAAGCATTCGTAAAATCACATCCAGGGCTCATTGGCTTATCTGATGCAGTAGCAGACACCCAGATGGCATTTATGTTTTACTTCGTTCTTGAGCAGCCTGGCTAGTTAAGAATAATGTAGAATTACCATATTTAGGATCGCTGTACTCTCTATTTATATTGAGTATGTTTTTATGCCTCTTTTAGCAATATTTCAGCAATATCACGGCAGGGGACACCAGAAACGGGCTCCACACATTGTACCCATGTGGGGAATTGAACCAGAATCTTTGACGTGACGTGCGAACGCTTTAACCACTAGGCTACCCCACCGCCCCAATGATAACACAGCGATTATTGTCAATGAGAATGTGGCCTGGCCGAGTCACTTGCTTGTGATGGATTCGTCAGGTTTTGCATATTCTGTGACGTCATACTCTTGAGACCCTGACCTTTTAGCTCCGTCAAGCTAAAATCTCCAATAAGCAGTTTAACATTTTGAAATTTAATGTATCCTTGGAATGCCTTTTCATGCTCAAAAGACAAATAATCGTCATACAGGTTAAGGAATAAGACACAATCCTTCATAACGTGCCACAACAATACGTTGAGGAATATGAACATATTTATTTATCGTCTAAGTTCCTGTCGTGCGTTGTCAAAACTGTTGAGCTGTTTAGCGTAGAAGTCATACCTTAAGGAAAAAGACACAATCCTTCATAACGTCCCACAACAACACGTTGAGGAATATGAACATATTTATTCATTAATTTATGATAAAAATATCCTCAAGCAATAGATCCCAAATCTTTGCCAACAGACCACAAAAGCAATGTATTGCCCTACGAAAAGTCCATGTGTATATTGTTTCAATGCAGTGCCAGCTACATCAATTTGGTGCTATGACCCCTTGAAGATCCGGGTTAGAATTTGATCTTCAGTAACCCATGCTTGTCGTAAGAGGCGACTAACGGAATCGGGTGGTCAGGCTCGCTGACTTGGTTGACACATGTCATCGTATCCCAAGTGATCGATGCTCTTGCTGTTGATCACTGGATTGTCTGGTCCAGACTCAATTACTTACAGACCGCCGCCATATAGCTGGAATATTGCTGAATGCGGCGTTAAACATCAAGCAACCAACTTTGGTGCTATGGTGAAGCCAGTGGATGTGAAATCTTGGGGTTTGTTTTTTAAAACAATTTGAAAATGTTTTATGAGAAAACTATTGCCAGTAAAGAAAAGTACCATTTCTTAATGCTTTATGGCAACTCCCACTTTCTGTTGACGTTAAACCCCCTATGTTGACCATTTGCTCTGAATCAACTTGCGATATAACATCTATCAGCAGTAAGTTTGAATATGGACTTTCTAATTGAATCATTTACGATTACAACGGATTCTCCTTTAATTACAATATATATAGCGATGCATGATTCAGCTGTCTATGGCTAACGCAGTCTAGTATTTCATCGTATTCTAACAGGCATTGCTGAACATAATTGGAACGCAAATACGTGTCAAATACGGGCGGTGGGGTAGCCTAGTGGTTAAAGCGTTCGCTCGTCACGCCGAAGGCCCGGGTTTGATTCCCCACATGGTTAAGCCCATTTCTGGTGTCCGCCCCCGTGATATTGCTGGAATATTGCTAAAAACGGCGTAAAATTATACTCAGTCAGTCAGTCAGTGTCAAATTCAAAAACAGGTTCAATTTATACCCTTATGAAATCCGAGGTTTGATTTGACTGACTGACTGAGTTTGGTTTTACGCCGCTTTTAGCAATATTCCAGCAACATCACGGCGGGGGACACCAGAAATGGGCTTCACACATTGTACCCATGTGGGGATTCGAACCCGGGTCTTCGGCGTGACGAGCGGACGCTTTAACCACTAGGCTACCCCACCGCCCCAGGTTTGATTTGAAAACTATTTGAAGTCACTTCCTAAAAATGGCAACGGAACTTAATAATGCTTTTTGTGCATCAAATCACCTACTGAAAATGCTATTAAATTATGGGATACCAATATCTGATATGAAATGTAAATATGTCGCAGAGATGATATTGGGGATGGATTGCATTGTGTATTTAAAGGTACACATGTGAATGAAAATTGTATATAACGATTTAGGACAAAATGTTTTACAATTTCAAGCACTCTTTTCAGGTAAAAAACAATCTGTAATGAAAACTTTTGTAAATTTGTCAGCCTAATTTGGAAAATTGTAAAATATGCCGACTCACTCCCTATCCGCAGCCAGTTAGTATAGGTATAGATGTGATTCGTACCTCATATTCCGATGGTTTCGGTTTCAGCGTAATGAAGTTCTTTTCTGTTGTGATAATCAATTACAGTATTAAAGTG